GAGGGAGGGAGAGAGAGAGAGAGAGAGAGAGAGAGAGAGATATCAGCCATAAAAAGGCAACATGAATGAACCTGGAGGACACTATGTTAAGTGAAATAAGTAATGAACAAATATTACATGTTCTCATATGTGGAAGCTTAAAAAGTTGACCTCATAGAAGTAGAGAGTAGAATAGTGGTTGTCAGAGGTTGGGAAGGGTATAGGGGGATAGAGAGTTTAAAAAAAAAGGATTATTAAGTTCTAGTGTTCTATAGAATAATAAGATGACAATAGTTAATAATTTATTTTATATTTCAAAATAGCTGGAAGACAGGACTTTGAATGTTCCTAACACAAATGATAAATATTTGAAGTGATGGATGTGATAATTACTCTGATTTGATCACTGCGCATCATAAACGGGTCAAAATAACAGTGTTCCTTATGAATATGTACAATAATTCTGTGTCAATTTAAAAGTTTTACAAAATATGTAAGGGAGCATATACTTTAAACAAATTGTTACCCAGACTGTAGGTGCAGAAATTTTAGACTGCTGACATAAGCTGTCCAGTATCCCCACCACAGGCCCCAACAGTCCTATTTCCCTCCTGTCTCCCTTCTCACCTCTGTGGCAAGGAAAGAGGAAGTTTATAGGAATGGTGGTCACAATTCCAGCTCTTCCTCTTTCTGAGGTGTCCCTAGGAGCCAGTCCCCCAGTTTTGCGTATGGTAGAATCCACAGCAGCTTATAAGCAGCCTCCAACATCAGCAGTGTCAAGAACAGAATCAGGAAAATAAGGAAGGCCTTGTCCAAAGCACGTTGCAGGGGACTCCTGGGAGGAGAGGGACCTTGAGCAAATGCCAGGAACACATCTCCCTCGTCCACATTGCCTTCCTCCTGTGCCATTCTCACCCATGGTCTGACAGCTGGCTGGATAAGTGGGCCTGGGATGGAAGCCTTGGCTCAGCACTGCCAAGATTAAGGGACGCGGCTATGGCAAGTCCTGCACCTGCCGTTCTTGACCCTAATTCCAACACGGGAGAGAAAGGAGAAAAGGGTCTCTGAATCTTGGGAGCAATTATTCAATCATCCAGGGTGACGTGACAGGCCTACAGTAAATGATTTCTCAACTCTGATCAGCTTTACCATAGTATAATCCAGTGATTTGAAAACGGAGGGACCAACCTAGAGACATAAACTGCAACTGTCCATCATTTTGAGTCTAGGCTCAAGGGTCAGTCTTGGGCCCCCACAGTGAGCAAGATGACCTAGTGTGAGCCGCGGTCAATCAGGCAGCTGTAGCCACTTGCGGCTTTCTGGCGGGTAGCCGCCGCGTTAGGTGGTCTCGGCTGAGCCACATGGTAGGGAAGGCGGGGAGGGCTCGGAGGCAGGGGGCGGGGGCGGTGTCCCAGTTCGCGCAGGCATAGTGCTTTCGGGTTCTGTGGGTGGCTGAGGGTGGGACTCTTTAAAACCAAGAGGACTCCCTAATTCCTGTTACCTGCGATGCCCCGGGAGGATTATAACTGGACTGCCTGAGTCAAGAGAAGTTCATGAAGTAAGAAAGAGCGTGATTGGTCAGCGGGGCGAGGGCGTGTGTCTGGAACTCGATTATTGGGGAAACTCTAAGGAGGACCGAGAGTTTGCCTGCGGAGCGCTGTGCTCTGAGCAGTAGCTGGTGGAGAAACCTGGAGGGAGTAAGTTGTCACTGGGGCACCAGAGCTTATGCTAGTGGGGTGACTTAGTGGGACCCATAGTTAGCCTGTGGAGTCTGGTCTCCGGAAAGACCAAGGTTTCAGTCCCATCCACCAACTTCAGGGAAGGGAGGCGGACTGGAGATTAAGCTCCATTAAAAACTCTGGAGACAAGATTTGATAAGTTTTCTGGATGGAGAACGATCCATCCCAACTTCACAGGGACAGAAGCTCCCTGTCCCTTTCCCTGCTCCTTTCCAGATCTTGCCCTGTGCACTTTTCATGTGGCTATATCTCTGTATTGAAATAACCTTTGTAATAATCAAGAAATGGCTGTCCTTAGTCCTGTGAGCTCCAGCAAATTAATTGAACCCAAGGAGAGAATTGTGGGAACCCGGGTTTGTAACTAGTGGGTCAGAAGTATAGGTGGTACTCCACTATTTTCCATTGATACTATAGGTAGAGAGCAGTCTTGTGGGACTGAGCCCACACTCTATAGGATCTAACTCCAGGTAGTTAGTGTCAGAATTTAATTAAAAATGCCCAATAGCTGGGCACCGTCACGCACACCTGTAATCCCAGCAGCTTCTCGTGAGGCTGAGGCTGGAGGATCACAAATTCAAAGCCAGCCTCAGCAATTTAGTGAGGCACTAAGCAATTTACCAAAACCCTATCTCAAAATAAAAAATAAAAAAGGACTGGGGATGTGGCTCAATGATTAAGGGCCTCTGGGTTCTATCCCTAGTGCCAAAAACAAAAACAAAAACAAAACCACCCAGTAGATGTCTATTGGAGAATTTCTTGGTGTGTGTGTGGTGGGGGGAGGGACCCCATAAAAATCTGGTACCAGAAGAGAGCAGGAGTAGGGGGAGAAAAAAATTGGTTCTTTGCCCCTCACAGATACACAGTTAGGAAAATATTTAAATGACCACATTTTTTTTATTATTGCATGTATTTAGGAATTCTGAGGGTAGACCAGATATGGTTGAATGAGTAATAAAACAGAAGCACATTATTTATAAATACACACACACACACACATATACACACTACAAATTTGTTTTTCTTGTCTTCATTTCAGTGAAGTTACTAATTATGTTGCTATAATCAAGATTTTCACATAATCTGTGTTCAGTTGATGGTAACGAACTAAAAAATTAAAAAGTTAAATCCAACTATGATCAAACGTTGCATAATTTGTAGCCAGGCATGATGGCACACGCCTGTAATCCCAGTTACTGGGAAGGCTGAGGCAGAAGGATTGCAGATTCAAGGCCAGCCTCAGCAATGTAGTGGGACTCTGTCTCCAAATAAAAAATAAAAAGGGCTGGGGATGTAGCTTAGTGGTAAAGTACCTGATCAGGCCCTGGGTTTCATTCCCAGTACCACAAAAATAAAAATTAAAGAACAAAATTGCAAATTATAATTAATAGATATTAAAAGTTAAATTGTTTACAGAAATCTGACATTTTATCAAAACTTTTAGAAACTACATGTAATTCAAGCTTTGGTCACCCATCTACTTGCTAGTGTAACTTCAAGAGTCATGCTTGTTATACCTAGGTTTATGTATACAGACAGTTCTGACTTATGGTTAGACTTACAATGTTTTCCTTTACGATGGTACAAAACTGATACACACTCAGTAGACGCTACACCTTAAAATCTCAATCTTGATCTTTTCCCTAGTTGGTGATATGTGGTATTCTTTGCAATGCTGTACAGTGGCAGAGAGCCTCAGGGCCCAGTCACCCACATAATCACAAGGGTAATACACAAGGATAATAAGTGCTCTATAGTGTACTGTGTTGCTAAGCTATGGCATTTGATAAGTTAGGTGTATTTCTTTTCTTTTTTTTCTACACTGGGGATTGAACCCAGGGGCTCTTTACCACTGAGTTACATCCCCGAGCCCTATTTATTTTTTTATTTTAAGATAGGGTCTTGTTAAGTTGCTGAGGCTGACTTCAAACTTGTGATCCTCCTGTCTCAGTCTCCCAAATAGCTGTTATTATAAGCGTGTGCTACTATGCCCAACTGGTTAGATACATTAAATGCATTTTTAATTTACAATATTTTCAACTTCCAATGCATATAGAGAGATGAGACCTCATTGTAAGAAAAGAAGCAACTATAAACAAGTTTAAGAATAACAGAAACCATTTAGTATAGGAAAATGTTGCTCAGCCACCATATGTAACTGTGGCCCTACAGACACCACCGCTATGTTAGAAGGTATTGCATTCCCTATTGACTGAGAACGTGGTTTTGGAAAGTTCATTAATTTGTCTTTCTTCTTCCCTATTCAGTTGTATTGCTCAAATTCTGCCTTGAATTCTAAACAAGGGTCTTTCTCTAGAGTCAGTAGCAGAACAATCCATAAATCTTCACAGCATTTGGTCATTTTTTTGTTTCAACAACAGGACAAGAGGTATGGAGACACATTTCCCTAGGTTCTGAGTAGAATTAATTATCAACTTCTGTTTAGATTGCCATTGCATATTGTAAGCAGCCTTCTAAAATGGTTCCAAGCAATCCTCACTTCCTGGCTTTATTCATGCCCTAAGGTAATCCCCTCCTTTTGAGTGTGGACTGTACCTCATGACTTGTTTCCAACAAACAGAATATGCTAAAAATGATGGATATCACTTCTAAGATTAAGGTAAAGTTATAAAAGATATGGCTTTCATCTTGCTGGAACTCCCAGTTTGTTGTTATTGTTTTGACTAGGGTTTGAACCCTGGGGCGCACTACCGTTGGGCTATATCCCCAGTCCTTTTTATTTTTCATTTTGAGACAGCTGTCTTGCTACATTTCCAAGGCAGGGCTCGAACTTGCAATCCTCCTGCCTCAGGCTCCTGGGTCACTGGGATTGCAGACCAGCACCACCACACCTTGTGAACTATCTGTTGGTGCAGCGACTTGTGGTAGTGTTGGGGTATTTTTGCTGATGGTGTCATCGGTGGTACAATTTTTCCAAAAGGAGCCGTCAATTGGCTTGGTGTATCTTCCTGCCTTCTGCTTGTTATGGTCGGTCAGCTAAAATTTGGGGGCCAACAGAGGTGAGGCAAAGAACCTCACCCCCCCACCACCCCACCCCCCGCTGGTACAAAGACCTATCCACAGGTGTGGCTGTATGCTGAACCCTGACCCCCTTTGTCTACCCTACTGGTCTTCCTTTTATTTTCATAAGATGCCCCTTTTTGCTTTTTTCTCTCTAGCTTCCATATATGAAAGAAAACATATGACCCTTAACCAGGTATGGTGGCACAGGGCTATAATGCCAGCATGGTGGCACAGGGCTATAATGCCAGCGACTTAAGAGGCTGAGGCAGGAGGATCACAAGTTCAAGGACAATCTCAGCAATTTGGTAAGACTCTGTCTCAAAATAAAAAGGATTGAGGATGTAGTTCAGTGATCAAGCACGTGGGTTCAATTCCCAGTACCATAAACAACAACAAAACCTTGATTTTTTTGAGTCACTTATTTTGCTTAACATGTTGCTCTCTAGTTCCATTCATTTTCCTGCAAAAGGCATGATTTTGTTCTTCTTTATGGCTCAATAAGATTTCATTGGGTGCCAGGAGCAGTGGCGCATGCATGCCTGTAATCCCAGCTACTTAGGAGGCAGAGGCAGAGGCAGGAGGATCACAAGTTCCAACCCAGCCTCAGCAATTTAGCAAGGCCCTGAGCAACTGGGTGAGACCCTGTCTCTAATAAAATATAAAAAATGGGCTGAGAATTTGACTTGGTGGTTAAGTACCCCTGGGTTTAATCCCTGGTACCAAAAGAAAAAAAAAAAGATTTCATTGTGTATACATACCACATTTTCTTTATCTGTACCTAGGTTGGCTTTTGTGAATTGTGCTGCTATAAACATAGGTATGCATGCATCTCTACAGTGTGCTGACTTTAATTCTGTAGGATAAATACCAAGGAGTGGAATAGCTGGGTCACATGGTGGTTCCATTTCTAGTCTTTTGATGAAACCCCATACTAATTTCCATAGTGGCTGTACTAATTTATAATTTTTACAATCCCACCAACAGTATATAAGAGTCAGTTTCCTGCCCCGCCCCCACATTCTTGCCAGCATTTACTATTGTTGGTGTCCTTGATGACTGCTTTTTTTTTAAAGAAGCTTTTTTTTTTTTTTTTAGAGAGAGAATTTTAATATTTATTTATTTTTTAGTTTTTGGCAGACACAACATCTTTGTTGGTATGTGGTGCTGAGGATCGAACCTGGGCCGCACACATGTCAGGCGAGCGCGCTACCACTTGAGCCACATCCCCAGCCCCTGATGACTGTTTTTCTAACTGGACGTTAGAATTTCAGTGTTTTGTTTTGTTTTATTTTATTTTGTACCAAGGAATTGAACCCAGGGACACTTAAACACCAAGCCACAGTCCAACACTTTTTACATTTTATTTAGAGACAGGGTCTCAATTGCTTAGGGCCTCACTGAATTGCTGAGGTTGGCTTTGAATTTTTTTTTTTTTTTTAACTTGCTAGTGTTCTACCACTGAGCCATAACCCCAGCCCCCCACCCCCACTGCTTTGAATTTTTAATCCTACTGCCTCAACCCCCCAGACAGTGGGATTATAGGCATTGGCCATCTGGAATGGTTTCAGTGTGTTTTTGATTTGCATTTCCCAGGTGACTAAAGATGTTGAACATTTTTTCATATATTCGTTAGCCTTTATATTTCTTTTGAGAAGTGTCTGTTGAGTTTATTTGCTCATTTACTGAATGAGTTATTATTATTTTTTTAACCTGAAGACTTTTTAACTCAAATGTCTAGAGCCTCAGTTTGGAGGGCTTGAATGGCTGGGGGGTGACTGGCACTACTCATCTGGGTCACACAGGAGCCTCAGACAGGAATGGAGATAAAAGTAGGAATCAATACCTGTTGTTTTTGTAAAATGTCCTATAAAATGATACGACTTTTTGTTCTTTGGTTTCTTCATTGATTTTTTTTTATTAAATTATAACATGCATACTCAAAGCATACATAAGTATACAACTTGATTTTTTTTTTTTTTCCAGAAAGTGAACCCAGCCTTGTAATTACCACATAGATGAAGAAACAGACCTGGGCCAGGCACAGTGGCACATGCCTGTAATCCCAGTGATTTGGGGAGCTGAGACAGGAGGATCGCAAGTTCAAAGCCAGCCTCAGCAAAATGAGGGACTAAGCACCTCAGTGAGATCCTGTCTCTAAATAAAATACAAAATAGGGCTGGGGATGTGGCTCAGTGGTTGAGTGCCCCTGAGTTCAATTCCTGTTACCAAAAAAGAAAGAAACAGAGCTTGGTACAGTGGCATTCACCTGTGATCCCAGTAAATTGGGAGGATGAGGCTGGAGGATCATAAATTTGAGGCCAGCCTCAGCAACTTAGTAAGGCCTTGTCTCAAAAAATAAAAAGGGCTGGGATGTATTCCTGTCTTAGCAATCAACAAGTAGACAGAAAATCAGCTGAAGATATGGAAGACCTGAAAACACTATCTAATTGACATAGAGAATTTCATGCAACAACAGAACACACATTCTTTTCAAGGGTACATGGAGCATTTGTCAAGATAGATTGTATTCTGGTCCATAAAGCCAACCTCAACCAACTTAAAATAATTATAATAATAAAAAGGATATTCTCTGACCACAACTGAATTAAATTAGAAATTAATATCAGAAATGTCTGGAAAATCTGCCAAATATTTGCAAGTTAAGCAACACATGTATGAATAAGCAATGGGTCAAAAAAGTCACAAGGGAAATTAGAAAATACTTTGAATTGAATAAAAATGAAAACATAACACACAAAAATCTGTGGAACATAGCCAAGATTGTACTTAAATGGTTTTTTTTTGGGTTTTTTTGTTTGTCTGTTCGGTTTTTTTGTTTTTTTCAGGGCTGGGAAATGAACACAGGGCATTCCACATGCTAATCAAGTGCTTTACCACTGAGTCACATCCCCAGCCTTTAAATGGGAATTTAAACATTACATTAGAAAATAAGAAAAGTTTCAGATCAATGACTAAACCTTCTACTTTTAATAAATCAGAAAAAAAGAACAAGTTAAATCCAATAAGAAAGAAGATTAAAGCAGAAATCAATGAAATTGAGAACAGAAAAAAGAAATATCAATGATAAACAAGAGCTTGTTCTTTATAAAATGATCATTACATCGGTTAACATCTAAAAAAAAGCAAAGAAAAAAATCAATTCATTTCTAAACAGACACATAAATAGTAAAAACTATTTTGAAAAATCTATAAAGAGAGAACAGGTCAGAGTGCATCAAGATCAGCAGGTTGCAAATTGGGGGAGGGGACTGAGTGTAAAGAGACAGAAGGGAACTTTCAGGAGCTAGACAGGCTCTACATCCTGATTCGGATGATGTATATGATTGGGTACATTTGTCAAAGCACAGAGAACTATTTATCTAAACAGAATGAATTTTATAGTATTAAATTATCTCTCAGTAACCTGATGATAAAGAAAATATAAAGGCCAGATGGGGTGGCACATGCCTGCAATCTCAGCCACTTGGAAGGCTGAGGCAGGAGGATCCCAAGTTAGAGGTCAGCCTCAGCCACCTCGCAAAGCCCTAAGCAACTTAGTTGGACCCTGTCTCAGAATAAAAAAGTAAAAAAGCCGGTGGATGGGAGCTGGGGATGTGGCTCAAGCGGTAGCGCGCTTGCCTGGCATGCGTGCGGCCCAGGTTCGATCCTCAGCACCACATACAGACAAAGATGTTGTGTCCACCAAATACTAAAAAATAAAATATTAAAATTCTCTCTCTCTAACTCTCTCTCACTCTTTCTTTAAAAAAAAAAAAAAAGCCGGTGGATGTAGCTCAGTGTAAAACACCCTTGAATTCAATCCCCAGTTCCTCCCCACTCAAAAGAAAAAAAAAAAAAGGAGAGGGGAAGATAAAAAAGAAAAAAAAAAAAAACAAGAGGGCATTTTAGTATTTTATGTAGAAGGAGTTTTATTTTTCAGTGCAGGGGATTGAAACCAGAACCTCAGTATTGCTAGGAAAATGCTCTACCGTTAAGCTACATCCTCCATCCTACAGTGTATTTTTTACTCCATGAATTGTGGTTTAAAGAAGAAGGAAAACCAGTGCTTTAGAACATGTCAAGGTCTTTCCTGTCTCTGGACCTTGCACTAACTGCTTCTTTGCCTGCAATGCTGGGACATTCTCCTGCTTTAAGCTGCCTCCTTAGGGAGCCCTTCCCAAACTATTCTGAAATCTATCTTTGTTTTCCATCTATAGGAGGACTTTGAACCTCTGGACTTGGAGATTGCTATCATCTAGGAGTTCTTAGCACCCCGTCCCCTGCCATCCCTCACCCAACAGTAAATCAGCCCTGGGGCTGGTGGCCTAGCTCAGGGTAGAGCACTTGCCTAGTTTACTGGAAGCCCTAGGTTCAATCCCAGGCATTACCACCACCACCAAAACCCCAAAACCTCCTAACTTAGAATGAAATGTCTTTTCTTATCTAGCAAAGACTGGCTTGACACGGGCAAGTTGCAGGCTATCTCTTACCTCCACTCCCAAGGTTTCAATTTGTCTAGGTGTTAGACAATAAACCTGGGTGCAGATTTATTAATTTTCAGTGGGCCAACCACCACCAGGCCTGGGAACAGGACTGGTCAGATCTGAAACAGATACTCCCTTCCTGGTGGTAAGTGGTTTCCCTCAGAAGACCAGACTGTTTATCAGAGTGTGTGTAGGAGAAATTCCAGCTAGCTATTCTAGAAGATCACCACTTCAAACCCTAATTCTTTTGATCAGGTCAGAAAGATTTCAGATAAGTCATTCTGAGTAACAGGAATGAGTTTATCAAAGGGATAGGAAAAGCCAGCAAGCAAGTTCAAGCAAGTCTTATGGATGATAAGATATGTGGTTCAGGCAGGCCTTGCAATCCCAGCAACCTCTAGAAGCAGAGCTGTCTAGCTGACCAGCAGCTGACTACTAAAAGGGAGAGAGTGGGTCCTCTCAGAGAGGAGAGGGCTAATGTGCCTCTCCTGCACTCCAGTTGTATTGGGATCCCAGAGAAGTTTTCAGAGAGTCCCACCCAAACCCACCTCTTAACTTTTGACTAAAAGCAAGATGACATCAGATTTTCAAGTACTCACTGCCATGGCAACTCTAGGTCACTTTGGCCCATACTGGCCTGTTCTGATTGGATTCTTAACCACATATTCTTACAGATTTTATGGTTAGGAGAAATTATCCTTATTTCCCAGAGTTTCAGGATCTGGTCACAAAGTCTCTGCCTTCAAGGTAATTTGAGTCCCTCTTATACACATCATCTTGGGCCTGCATTTCTCCTAAGGATAACAAATAGTTCTCAGAGGAATGTGACTCAGCCTGCCCACTTAGGCTAGGCAGAGCTACAGGTAAGTTGCCTCTTGGAAAAGAAAGTATGTAGGGGTCAGCACAGGGGGTCCATTTTATAGAATCATTCCCTTAGCCTCCTGTTCCCTCCATTTACACCCGTCTGTCTCCTAAAACTCCCATCAAAAGGTAGTTTGTTCTTCCATCCCTTCACCTTTATTCTTTTTTTTCCTTTGAGATAGAGTTTTGCCCAGGCTGGCCTTGAACTCCTGAGTTCTCTTGATCCTCTGGCCTCAGCCTCCCAAGCAGCTGGGGTGAGAATGTGTGCCACCCTGCCCAGCTTGCTCTGCATTTCTTGAATCTGGATTGGCCTTGTGACTTGAATTGTGCCATTGAGCGCGGCAGAGCGGCACTGTGCTGGCTCTGAGCCTGGGCCTAGGGAAACCTTGTTCACTTTGCTCTCAATCCTGGATCACGGCCAGCAAACAAGTTCAAGCCAGTCTTGCGGAGGATAAGATATGTGGTTCAGGCGCGCCTAGTCATCCCAAAACCTCTAGAACAGAGCTGTCTAGCTGACTAGCAGCTGACCACTAAAACCTTGTTGAGATGAAAAGAACTGCCTGTGGGAGCCCAGCCCGTACTGCAGACCCATAGAAGCCTGAGCTAACCGGGCACGATGGCACATGCCTGTAATCCCAGTGGCTCAGGAGACTGAGGCAGGAGGATCATGAGTTCAAAGCCAGTCTTAGGAACTCAGAGAGGTGCAAGGTAACTCAGCGAAACCCTCTCTCTA